GTACAGCACAGAACACAAGTATAGTGCCTGAATCCACTCTGAATTTTTTTTTAAAGTGACTAGATATCTAATTGGTGTCCCCTTAATGATCACACAGTTGGAAGACACTCCTTATCAAGCAGCTATTATGAAATGCATTTTGTAAGCTCTACGACTGGTTCCTTCTCTGAAAATAAACTAAAGTAATGCAACTGAAAGCCATTCAATTTCCCTAAAAGTGAAGTCAGAAAAGCTTGGAACTAATGCAGGTTCTGCTTTATATGTGATTTGTCATGGTGTTAAGAAATCTAGAGCAAGGATGGGGGTGTGGTAGGAGAACATAGAATCCTAGAAGTGTAGGACTGGAAGAGACCTCGATTGGTCATCTAGTCCAGTCCCCTGCATTCAAAGTCAGGACTACATAATAATGAGACCATTCCTGACAGGTGTTTGTCTAACCTGTTCTTAAAAGCCTCCAGTGATGAGATTCTACAACCTCTCTAGGCAATTTATTCCAGTGCTTATACATCTCAGGTCTAAGTGTCAACTACTTCTTTACACTCTTATGTAACAGAAACTCCTACAACTGGAAAACTTGCATAAGGGATACACCTAAGAGTAAGGTTTTCTGGAATCAGGCCTTTTAATATTTTTCTCCTCTGATCACATTTGGATTTTATGCATTACTTCTTTTCTCCTAGCCCCTCTGGCTTGTTATGCATTTCTCCTCTCTTTCATCCTTGGTTAGTTATTTACCATTTTGTTTCCAGCTCTCCTCTTTTTTGCAGGAACAGTGTCTGTGTGGATCCCTCCTTTCACTCACTCGTTCTCTTTCTAAAGGCCCACATGGAGCATTTATGGAGGGCTGGATATGGCTTCCTAATTTAGTCAATGCTTCTCCTTCACTCAGCCACTGATTTTCATTAGAGATTGGTACAAGTTGCTAATTCCCAAGGATTGAATACCTGAATTGTAGTGCTCCTACTGTCTAGGGATGGTTGTGGTGTAGTTGACAGGGCCTGGAGCTGGGAGTTAAGAAACCTACATTCTAATCTTAATCCTGCAACTGACTTGGTGTGTGTCTTAGAGCAAGTCACAATACTTCAGTTATCCCCTCTGTAAAATAGGCAGGGCTGTCCCTACGGGGGGTGCGAGGCCTGGGACATAGGCGCCAAGTTTTTATCTGCCAGGGGGTGCTCCCCTTGGCTCTGCCCAGGCCCCGCCCCCACTCCACCCACTTCCCCCAAGGCCCCACCTGCGCTCCGCTTCTTCCCTGCCCAGTTCCGCCCCCTCCCCCGAGCACACTGCACCCTCGCTCCTCTCCCCTCCCTCCCCCGCGCCCAGCACCTCCAGACGCTGCAAAACCGCTGATCAGCGGTAGGCGCTGGGAGGGAAGGGAACATGAGAGCTTGGGAGGGGGGTTCTGCCTCCCCCCCCTTATCTCTCCGCCCACCTCCTCACGAAGCACAGGGCCCAGGGTGGTTGCCCGATTGGCTGTTCCCTAGGGACAGCTCTGAAAATAGGGACAAAGAAGCTTACTAACCCTTGCAAAAAGCTTTGAGTTCTGTTTGAAAAGTGCTATATAATTACTAATTAGTATTACTAGCCCAGAGGGCAGGGCATCAAAATTAATCCTGAATTATGTCCTGCCATTACTGCAGCGCTCCCTTCCTTTTCTCTCCTCCTCCCCCTCTGTGTATGCACATCTTTCCTCTTTCCGTTTTGTGGATGTTTCCTGATCTTGTGTTTTTCCTCATTTCCTGTTCTCCCCCATTCCAAAATAATCCCTGTATTGCTGCTCCTATACATATTGGGCCAGATTCTCCACTAACTTGTCCTTTGTGTACTCACCTTGGGTGCAAAACATTACCGTTCTGATTTGATATCAGTTTACATCCACTGTCCAAGTGACTACAAACTGCCGGGCGGTGGAGAACTGGGCCCCAGGTTTCCCCAGCAATGAGGATAAGAGCAGCAGAGTGATAGGATCACAGGCATTTTCACCTTCTTAGTGGACTCCATCCAAATTACTCTGTAAAAGCAGCAGAGATATGATCCTCTACAACTACTAGGAGCTCCTGTTCCCAGCAGAGCTTGTTGGTCCTGCAGATACGTAGTCACTCCCCTGGGTCCCAGTAGAAGTAGGCAGTGAAAGTGAGTAGCACTGTGTCACTTTCACGCTGCCAATACTCCTGAGAAGTAGTATATGCTTCAATAGAGATACTTCTCCACAGGGGTATTTAAAAATAAAAATAAAAATTGCAGGAATGTGAGAACTTGCCGTTCTTGTGCTGCATGTAAAACATGACCTGGTAAAAATAAGTTTTGAACTCTGCATATAGGATATATTAGATAAGAGACACGACAACAATACTTGTAGCAACATACTACATAGGTTTTTAACTCTCTTCCCAGCTTTCCCTCCTCCATCAAAGACTTAATTGACAGTGTCCAGCAGGATGTTTTCTTCTCCCCTCCACCGTTCTCCCCTCTTCTCTTGTGCACAGAGTCTGGCTTTGATTTCTGCCTGCTTTCCACCTCCAACCCTTCCACTCCCTTCTGTCTCTTATCCATTCATGGGCATGCATGCTCTCCCCATCTTCTCTTATCTTCAAAACATCTTCTCCCCTCTGGCTTCTCTCTCAGGCTAAAGGCACATTCTTGTTTACCCACTCATGAAAAAATTCTTCTCTCAATCCCAGCTGCTTTTCCAGTCTATCCTTCCCCTTCCCCTTTGCATATAAAATTCTTGTCTGTATGGCCTACGGCCATTGCCAGGGCTTTCCTTAATCCTCTCCAATCTGGCTTCTGCTCTCAATCATTCATATCACGTTCACCAAGGTCCCTAACAAATCAAAGGGACACATTTCTTTGACTTGCCTCTGAAACAACTAATCATCCTCTGCACCTTTATTTTCTCTCCTTTTAGCACTTTCACAGCTCTTCTGTTTCCTCTTACCTTATTGATCTTCAGAATCTCTTGTTATTCATCTGTGTCCCCTCTTTAGCGCTCTGTAGCCATTCCTCAGGATTAGTTTCTTATTTTGTGAGACAGGGTGGGTGAGGTAATATTTTATTGGACCAGTTTCTATGGTGAGAGAGACGAGCTTACACAGAGCTGCTCTCAAGCTACTCAATGTCACAACTGAATACAAAGTAGTAAACACACATTTCAAGGGACCATTCAAAGTGAAATGTCCCATTAGTACCCCTCCAGTCATAGGGAGGAAAAGAAGGGGGGGGGGAACTACTGAAGGTGGGGGGTTGCTAGTGGGTTACAGATTGTTGTAAAAAGCCATGAATCCAGTATCTGTATTCAGTCGCTGGTTATTAGTGTCTAGCAAAGTTGCAAATTTAAACTCCCAGGCTCATCCTTTGAAGGTGTTGCACAGATTTCCTTGGAGAATGAGGTCTGAGAGGTCAGATACAGAGCAATTGTTTTATGAAAAATGCTCACGCACAAATGATAAGGTGGTTTTGTCTTGGCTTATTTTTCTGTGAGAGTTCATTTGAGTGTGTAGTTGATTGGTTTCACCCATATAGTGGTTATCGGGGCATTTAGTGCACTGGATGAGATACACCACACATTGTGATAGGCATGTACACAACTCATGGATCTTGAAAGGCATGTTGGAGGAAAGGTTTCTGGCCACTGGGAGATGTGGAGCTGGCGCTTGGGGCAGGGGCACTGTGTGGAGCCCCTGTGGTCATCCCTATGCCTAGGGGCCATAGGGAGATGCTGGCAGTTTCCCAAGAGCCATGTAGAGGTGGCAGGCACTCTGTCTGTCCCACTGCGGGCAGCCAACTGGACTTTTAACGGCCAGAGCCGCCAGAGTCCCTTTTCGACTGAGCATTCCAGTTGAAAACCGGACACCTGGCAACCCTAGCTGCAGTGCAAGCCTGAATGGCTATACTGCAATTAAAACAGCCCCTTAGGCAGAGCCCTTTGAACCTGTGGCAGCTGGCACAGGCCAGCCAAGGGAGTCCAATTGCAGTGTAGACATACCTGTGTAAGCTTGAAAGCTTCTCTCTCTTACCAATGGAAGCTTTTCCAGCTTATTTATTTATTCTTAATGCTACCTTTGCTCTGCTAATGTAGCTAGGACAACCAAACTTCACCCCCAATGCCTATACCCGCTGTTGGTTGGAGGGCTCATATTGCTCCTAAACCTTGTGCTGACCCTCTGCATGTGGGTGAATTTCACATAGTTTATTTAACCATGGATGAAAATCTGTGTGAGGGATAATGCAGTTTGGCACTATGTAAATAGTACTTCTAAAACTTTTTTTAAGGGTTCTGCATCTTGTCACCAAACCGTCCATTTATGTAAAATGCTACGCCAAAAAAAACTAGTAGTGTCACCAATATACAAGCAATTGGGGTAAGAGGTGAATGACTGACAGTTCATCCAAATATGGGTTTGAGAGTCTTTTTAGGCTGATCACGCAAGGCACTAATGTCCAACAACTCCATTGAGCTCAAAGGGAATTGTGGATGTTAAGCACCTGATAAGACTGAAGCCTTTTGACTGGAGAGATAAACATATAGGGGCAGATGTTCAGCTGGTGTCAATGGAGCTAAAACAATTTACACTAGCTGAGGATCAGCCCCAGAAAATTGGAGAGACTATTTAAGATGGATGTGTGTTTTTGAACCTGAAACCTCTGCTAAGCAAGCTCGAGGAAGGAGATATGAATGAGTAAGGAAGCAGTGTATTAGGTGCAGTGATTGACTTAATGGATCAAGAAATCTTTGTTGGTAGAATCATTAACAATGCATCAGATTAAAACTGCCTGTAAAAGACAAACTGAAAAGAATCCTTGAGGTGTTCCAGCTTGTCTGTGAGCCTGGAGTCTTTAAATTAACTTAAATGGGCTTTAGCTCAGGCCCTAGAAGAGGAGTTAAGTAGTACAATAATTATCTTTTAGATAAGTATGTTTAATCTGTAAGTGTTTTGCCAGAGTTTTATTCTAAAAATCACTTTGCAAACAAACATTCAGGTGTTTGGGGTTTATTTCAGATTCAGCGACTGTCTTGGAAATGGTACCGACGTGGGCCCCGGCTGTTGGTTTCACACTCTTACCCCATACAGGAGGGTTTTTGGGAGGCATGATAACAAAGAGAGAAATCCCTATATGGTATGAATCTCTTGAAAAGCCATCCTGGCAGCCACCTAACTGGATGTTTGGCCCTGTCTGGGGAACTCTGTATACATCAATGGGGTATGTCTTTTATATTGTGTATATACACTTAACTAGTCTGATGGTTGCTTAATGTACAAAAGCAAGCTGGATTGTTAAAAAGAATCATACTGCATAATGCTAGTTAGTTATGTTATTGGATATATATGTTACATTAGCTTATAAGAGTGACTTAATGTTGTTCCTGCACTGTTCAACAGGTAAGTACTTGCTTAGGAAACACTGCCCTTTAGGTGTATGCACAAGGGAGGTGTATTAAATGCAAGAATTTTTGATTTGCTTCCGACTGCCCCAATAAGAGAAATAGAACTGTGAAGTAATGTGCTGACTGATTGAAAAAGGGTTTTTTAAATCTTATTCTCCCCCCCCCCCCCGGTACATGTGTCCTCTTACAGTTCTAGCTAAAATTAACTGTATTAGTAAATAAATGAGGGATTGAGATTTGGACTGTCCCAGTAAAGAGCAAATTAAATTTACAGGAATCTATAGCCCTTGTCTTATAAAACATTGTAATAAAACCTTTTGCTTTTAAACGGTGTCATATTATCTGGTACAATCTGCTGCCCTCTAACTGAATTAGTCTAAAATACTGATGACAACTTTGGCTATTACTGTGAAAGAAATGGGCAATGGTGAAAGGGATACACAAGTGTGTTGGGCCAAATATCAGACCTAGCAGTACTTTAAAAGAAAGGCTGAAGGGTAATACAAGAAATATATTCTAATCACTACATCTCTTAAAAAAATAGTTTAGCTATTTATAAAGTAGATTTTTTTTCTGGACTGTTGTGTGTTTTAGACAGGTATGATCTCCCTCACACAAAAACTGTCCCAGCAACAGCCCAGCTAAGAGAAAGTGCTTTTCTCCCAGCCCCCCATGAGGGGAGGCCACATTAGGCTACGAGAACCAAAGTGACTTTCAGCACCCCCAACTTGTTTCATATCTTCTTTATGCAGGATTAGCCCTATGCTATGTTTAGTGCATTTTTGGTCAGGTATTGTTGCATTATCGCGGATCCCTGCAAAAAGTAATTTTTCTTTGAAGCTGAGTTGTGTCTCTCCCCACAAACCAACTACAATGCCCCAACTCTTCTATAACTCAACTACAACGGAAGGGATTTTCCTCAAATTTGCACTCCTTGGGCCTGTTAAGTCTGGAAAGTTCAGCCCCAAAAAGGAAAACTTTTTAGAAAAAAGAATAAGTAGTTATGATGGGATGCTACAGATTTCCTTAATTATAATTATAGTGCTCTCTATTGCAAAATACTGTAGTGAAGCAATATGCATAAAAATAAATGCTGAATCATGTCTCTTCTTGCCTTTGCTTTATCACTTAATTTCTACTCACCTTCACTCCTTCTAGTCTTTTACAGCTCAGACCACAGTGTCCTTCCCTTTCCCCCTCCCCATGCAAACAGAAAGTATCTTTTTGTTATTCTGTTCCCTCCTATGTACTCAGTAAAGTCTCATTTAGTTAGCTCTGAAATCACAGCATCATAAGATTAGTCAGGAAGTACCCTTTTTGTTGAAAGGTAGGATAACAGATCGCTGAAGCGAGACCCAGTAGCTTTTCCATAGAAAAGCCGTCAGATGGCTTCCTGGCAAAACACACCCTAAGAGTTATGTAACCAAATGGCTGTCCCTGAAGTATGCCTTTGAATGAACTGTACAGTATGCAAACAATAGTGTCTGGGTTTCAGACTATACCCAGGAGATCCAGGTAAGATTTTTTGGTGTAAGATCCACATTTTGAAGGTTTTTCATACACTCCTGTATGTCCTCATCAGAACAGTGCATTCTGAGATACTTAGACGTGGTTAATGTCCTAATCATACCTATTCTTGATGACGAATCACAATGATGATCCTAATCCCAGGGGGCGTTAAGTGTTTCTTCTCAGAGCCTCAATCATACTCAGAACCAGATCACTGCGTTCTGTATACGTAACGCCACAGAGATTCCTCAGAGTTCAACAAATCCAGTTCCTCTATTTGCATTTAACACATGCAAAAGATTCTGGGGATTTTGTCATGCAATACTGATATTAACTAGCAGAGCACGAGCACTCCCAAAGAGTTGTGTAACTAAGGGGCTGGCTCTGAACTTTACAAATTTGCAAGAAAATCTAGATCAAGAGCAGAAGCCAAAGTTATATCTGTGTACAAGTGCAATTGCTTGTTAACAACAGTTTCGCAAATCAGCTGGAAGCAGAATTGTATCTAGGTGCCTCCTCGTGATGGAGAAATATGAAGCTTTTTTGTTTTTTTTTAAAGCATTTGTTTGACAGGATATTGATCAAATTGACAGCATATCGAATTGTGCCCTTAGAAAAGGAACAGCCAGTATGCAAGCTTGGGTTATTTACTTCCACATAAAAAATAAATTTATTCATGCTACATGTGAGTGAAACTGAACTCTGGTAAAGTCATGTGGATGTCTTAGATGTGTATCTGCAGCTAAACAATTAAAAATCTATCTTGCTTAAAAATGTGCGGGTGAATTTTTAAGAGTTCAATAATATTCATGGAGCAGAGCCTGCATATGGAGCTCCCCATTGCCTAGCGAGGTGCACAATTCAATGTGCATTCTTACCTACAATGTAGATTTCATCTCAATATGAAACAGTATGCTACATTCAATATGCTACATTGAAACAGCTAGCAAATTACTAACACAAAGGAGCAGACTCTCATTTGGGATACACACTCGTCTGGCCCTGAAATCAAGCGCCCACTAACACTTAAAAGTGAACTACAAAGCAAAAGTAAAAAAGGAGTGGACTTCTGTGCTGAATGATCCAGCTAACCAGATTGTGGGATTAGGGTTGCCAACTTTCTAATAGCACAAAACCTAACACCCCCGCCCCACCCCTTCCCCGAGACCCTGCCCCCGCTCACTCCATCCCCTCTCCCTCCATTGCTTGCTCTCCCCCACCCTCACTCACTTTCACCAGGCTGGGGTGCAGGAGGGGGGTGAGGGCACTGGCTGGGGGTACAGCCTCTGGGGTGGGGCCAGGGATGAGGGGTTTAGGGTACAGGAGGGGGCTCAGGGCTGGGGCAGGGTGTTGGAGCGGTGCGGGCTCTGGGAGGGAGTTTGGATGTCGGAGGGGACTCCAGGGTGGGGCAGGGGGTTGGGGTGGGGTCCTGGCAGCACTTATTGCGGCCGCCAGGTCCCTGCAGCCCCTAGGCACATGGATATCCAGGGAGGTTCTGCGCACTGCCCTCGCACCCATAGGCACCACCCCCACAGATCCCATTGGTTGTGGCTCCCCAGTGCCGACCGGAGCCGCCAGGGTCCCTTTTCGACCGGGCGTTTGGGTTGAAAACCCGACACCTGGCAACCCTATGTGGGAGGCTTTCAGCACACAATAAGCTTTAGTTTCATATCCCCCACCTCTGAGTGATCCTGTCTTACCTTCAGTGAACTAAGACGTTATCCCAGAACGCACTATTCCATAGGCATTAAAAGGGCATGGATTGCAATGAGAATTCTGGTATGTTCGCAATTGCAAAGCTGTATTCTGGAAGGTCTTCCAGTAACCAGTACTAAGAGGATTTCACTGACAGGAGAAAAGCTCCTTGCCCCTAGTTCTCTTCACTCCGTGATTGTTTTTGACACCTCCTTTCTGAAATCAAATATGGTTATAAAAATATCACTTCTCTGCAGACACTACCCAAATTCACCATTGCTCTCTTTCCTCACTTCTTGCCTGTTTCAGCCTCAACTTCTGTTAACTCATTTTAAAAAGATTAATACCTTAAAATGACAAGCACTTCATTAAATAGAGGGAGATGAAGTGACATTTAAATCCAACACTTCGCTCCAGTTAGGAACCTACTCATTCAACTTGACCTCCAGATTATCTCCTGGTTTTGAAAATTTGCCTATATAACTTCTGAAATAACCATCTCTGTACTCCACACAATGAACACTGTTACCGAAACTCATTAATGTATTCAGTTCATCTAGACTAATGCAATTGCTTCCTTTATAGTCTTTAGGTCTTAACTCAAACTTCTATTTGTCCAAAATGCAGTAGTTCATCTGCTCCCCTATATCCAAGAATGAAAATAGCCACAGCAAAATTTTTTTACTTATTTCTTTTATTGGATGGTTCAGTACCATGTATTCTCTCATTTTGCCTGAATAGCATAGGGGTGTGAAACCACTTATTGAAGGTTCCACAATAAATCAGCACTTCAGTTTTGGATTCTAGCCCAAATCCATTGCTCCTACCTCTAGTTAATGCTTGGTAACATTTTCAGAAGTGCCTAAGTGACTTACGATCCACCATCCTATTTTCAAAAGTCACTTGGAAGCCTAAGTCTCTTGCAAGTGAATGCACTTAGACTCTTGTGACTTCTTTGAAAATTTTTCTTACCCTACCTATGAAAGTCACCTAGTTTGACAAAGTATTTGTTTATAATTATTTATGCATTATATTGTATAATTTGCCAGAATACTTGCATTGTCATGTTCATTTTATTCAGATATGGTTCTTACCTGGTATGGAAGGAGTTAGGAGGTTTCAATGAAGAGTCAATGGTTCCACTTGGGCTGTATGCAGGGCAGCTGGCATTAAACTGGGCATGGACTCCAATATTCTTTGGAGCTCACAAAATAGGATGGGTAAGTATAAAGTAATATTGACATTTAAAGTCTCGTCATAGCCTTACACCGTTAGTTACAAGGTGCCAACTTTAGCATTTTTTATTCTTAAAATGAACTTTGGTACATACAGAAAAGTAAAATTTGGCTTGAGTAGCAGATTTTTGAAATTCCTTTATTACTCATACTCTCATAAGAGATTGTGCATTATTTATCTAGTAATTACATTGTTAGCTCTCAAGTGTGTTTTTCCAACCCTTTGTTAACAGAAGTTATAATTCATATGACTAAAGTAAATACAGTTATGCCAAGGTAAAATTCCTAGGGGTCCTTTAGACAAATTCTTGTGAAAATTAATTTACTATGAGATGACTCGTAATAGTGTCAATTTTAGATAGCACTAATAATTCTCTGCTGTCTGGGGGGAAAAAAAGCTAGTCTCTGATATAAACCACCCTATGAACTACTTGACTGGTTCTTTTACTACACAGCTTTCTTAGATACTTACATGCAGGGCCGGCTCCAGGGTTTTTGCCACCTCAAGAGGCGTGCAAAAAAACCAAACAAACCGCGATCGCGATCTGCGGCGGCAATTCGGCGGGAGGTCCCTCACTCCCACTTGGAGTGAGGGACCGTCCGCCGAATTGCCGCCGAATAGCTAGATGTGCCGCCCCTCTCCGGAGTGGTTGCCCCAAGCACCTGCTTGGTAAGCTGGTGCCTGGAGCCGGCCCTGCTTACATGACCCCATTACCATAGTAATGGAGCGCCTTGGAGCTTTAATGTATTTACCTGCACAATGCCCCTGTGAGGTTGGGAAGCACTATTATCCCCATTTTACAGATGCGGAAGATATCTGCAGCACAGCAAGGATTTGAAGCGGTCTCCTAAATTGCATGAGGTCACTCTAACCACCACCCCTGAAATACTGAACAGTCAAGAAGTTCAAAAACACAAAAACTTAACTTTTGGAATTTGTGGAGTTATTAATTTAGTATTATTGATGTGAATGCTATGAATTCAATACATGACATATTAGGCTTAATGTTGCATTAATTTTAGCTTTTTGCGTTTATTCTATATTTGTATGAAAATGTCTCCAAAAAGTCAGCTCAGTCCTGTTAAGAGCAAATGATTCCTTTTTCAAACTGATCACAAGAAGCATTGGTCTCTACTCTGCACAAATTCATGTATCAGCAAGAGGCATTCGAAGTGTTTTTTAGCATGTACTTGCCACTGTATTTCAGAACTCTTCACAAAAAAATGTTTAGTATGAATTGTGCAAATATCTACGTACTGTCTTGAACAAAAATGCAGCGTGTAAAATAACACTAACCACCTTATTTTGTTTCAGGGGTTGGTCGATCTCCTACTCACTAGTGGTGCAGCAACAGCTACAACTGTCACCTGGTACCATGTCAACAAGAAAGCAGCATATTTGATGTTCCCTTATTTAGCTTGGTTAACTTTGGCTTCTGTGCTCAATTACCGCATCTGGAAGGACAATAAAAAGAAGCAATCTTAATACAGAACCTTCTGGAAGAGAATATCAAGGCAGAAGTGTTTTTTTTTATGCATTTCCCAAATAAAATTACAATCCTGTTTTACTGTTGCGTGAAGTACTTACTGTATTAGACAGTTAAAAATAGGTCATGTCTAAATACAGTCAGAGTGGTGTTCATTTCAACATTCAAATGCTGGTTTACTACACAGTCCGAACGGAATGTGTGCATGAGTGAATTTAATAGCACAGTAAATGAAGTGGTTTAATCTGCATGCTCTCCTATTGCCCGTGCTGTTGATTACATATAAAAAAGAATGTAATGGATAGCATTTTTAACTACTACTGGCAATTAATGTGATTTGGGAGCTGATTATGTCCGGAAACGAAAGTCCATTAATGACTTTCAGAAGATTGTTCCTCACATTAATTTACTCACTATGGGCCTGATCCTTCAGCCATATAGCACTTGGCATAGTGCTTATTCCTGTCAGCTGTTGTACTGACTTCAGTGTCTTGTCTTCAAAGCGCTGTGCCTAGAAATGTTTATGATTAGGCCTTATATGGAGGAAGAATTCCATACTTGTGCATATAAACTTCAAGAGCATAGTATAGTTTGCAGACTGGACCGTTATAGTTGAGAGGTAGGGGAAGGTTTCAAACATATTAAACAATAAGTAACTTACTATTCTTACACCATGATTTTTTTTTTAAAGGGCTAAAGCCAAAAGGATGCTGCAACCTAGAAGAAAGCTGCCTCCCCGCCCCATTTCCTTACCACTACAACTAGTGTAATTTACTTGGCTAAAAAAAAATAGACAACATCAAATCCAGAGCACACAGTCAGGAGCTGATGACAGCACCCAAAGAGTATCCAATGAGCACCTGAAGAAAAAAAAAATTAAAAATAAATAAAATCACAAAAAGAGGAATTAGTGCCTTTAACCTGCTCTGCTTGGAACCTGGATGCTTCACTAGCAGACTGCTAGTATTCTCAGCTATTATCAGAGCAATCTGCCTCCCCTGGAGGGATGTCTGGCTGCTGGTGGCCCCAATCAAATATACAAGCATCTTATGACCATCCTGCTAAAATACTTACCTAGGTACATGATTATCTGTTCCTCCTTCAGCTGCTTGGAGACAGGTATAAGAGGTTTCTGCTGCTTCAAGATTAGTGTTGCAGCCTTAAACCAGAAGACTTTGAGCTGTAAGTGGCTCAACTAGAAACAGGAACTTTTTGTATAAGGTACCTGGGACAGGAAGTTTTACCTTTCCTCTATTGCTAGCACATTACTACCACTTTTATGGACCCTGCTTCCCGGTCCCCCCTTACACGATTAGGATTTAAACCTGCCTCTTTGCCCCAGATCCACAGCAATTTCCAGCAGTGACTGATTTTCACTTGCCCATTTTATGGCCAGATACCCTGAAATTGCCTCTCTCCTTCATTGCCATGTGTCCTAGGTATATCAAGCAACTTTAAACTAAGCTTCTTAGAAATCTGAAATATTATGTGGTAGTGCTTGGCAGACATTTGTTCTTCAGACTGAACATTAGGAGGATTTGCTTAAAAAACAAAAAAAAAAGGTAGTTCTATGGCATAATCAACCCTTTTCTACATGAAGATTGAAAGATAACTGGTTATATTCCTTCCTTCCTGGATATCAGTGCAAGGTGATATAATTGTGGCAGGTTAAGATTGTTTAAAATTTTTACACTTTGCTTAAAATCTTAAATTGATTAGTTTGTTAACTTTTATTTTTTGATAAATGTAACTAATATTACCTTTTATGCTATAAGACTTCAAGAAATAAATAATGCACATATACAATGTAAAACATCCCTAAGGTTTAGTGTAAGATGTTGAAGTGTTCGAGTTTGTTAGAAGGGCCTTATATCATCTAGGCTGAAGGCCATTAAATTTCACTCAATTACCCCCATAGTGAGCCCAATAGCTTGTTTGACAATAGTGTAACTTGTGTTGGCTAAAGCAGAATACTAATGTGAACTAACTGTTCCTCAGTACACACAAGTAGTTTAATTTGGCCAGTACTACTTAGGAAGGGGTAAAATTCTGAGCCATAGCTCTTGATACAGACATTGCCAAAGATTAAAAGGATCCTTTGTTCTTGCATTGTTGACTCAAAATAAAATACTGTTCCATGTCTTTTCAGACCTTTGGCAATTGTAATGGCCCCTACACCACCCGTCTGACCTCCCCATTATCTCATTGAACTGTGGTTCTTCATTAATGATTCATTTTGCTATCGGAGATCAAATCCTTAGATAGGCAAGGCTCCCATTGACCTCAATGAGAATTTTGCCGGATGATATTCAACCTTAACTGCATTGCGAAAGGAATGAATGGTTTGATATGTGACAGAGGAGCTACAGTTTCCATCTAATTTCAGCATTACCATGCATGCTAAACAGCTCAAAACTACTAGACTGGGATATATTCATAGACCTCATTCAACTTTAAAAAGATAACAGCAGCTATGACTAGTTTTTGAGAAAGAATAGTGACCTTTAATTGAAAAAACTAACTCTAATGTTGCTGTAATACTTTATTACAAACAAGCTTAATAAATGTTCGCTCATTGGAGTTATCAGATGCAACCCTAAAGTAAGTTGCTTTACATCAATTTGTGGAATAAAGCATATTAGTGCTTGAAGACAATGGTATTATACAGAGAGGAAGAGATGATGCATGACCTCAAACATTTTGATACAGGAAATTATTACTCTAATGCAGACACAGAAAATTTGTACAACACTTCCTGCTATGCAAATAAGGTATACTAGGCTACCTAAGAAACAACAGCTGATTGCTCTAGTTACTATTATACTTTTCTGGGCTTCAATAAGACATTTAAGTCAACATAAGTTGATGATTAGAACTAAACAAGACAAGAAAACGCAGACCACTGATTACAAGTACAGTATATACCCATTCATCTGATAAGTTTTTCTTCATTACCATTATAGGAAAATAATTATATTTCAGTTCTATGAGATGCTTATGCAAATATTGCTGTTAAGCATATCTCTAAAGGAAACACATAACCAAGTCGCGCCTTCTAGGCCTAAACAACGTATGTCACATGACAATTATTTGTTTCATCCAGAAATAGGGTGCTGAAGACATCATTAAAAAAGGTAGGGTGGTATTTGCAGGCTCTATCACAGTCAGGGTTGAAGTTCACCTCCAGGACCTGAGGTTGCATAGTTCTTTTCCCTGAAGAGAAACAAAACATTACATTTTACTACAAGGTATACATGAGATGCTGGGAGTCGCCTCCCTTTGCTGTAGCAGAGACCGTAGAAAGAGGCTGAAGATGGTCAACTCTTACTACATACCCAGGTAGGCTTTTTTGAGGCCTATAGTATGAGGAAGTGAGACACCAAACCCATTTCTGGGGCAAATGTCATAATCTGAGGCCTTGCCCATATGAGAAAGGTGCACCGGTTTAACTAGATCAGAATTAGTGCATCTTTCTTATTTAACCACAACTTTGAGATGCACCTTCCATAAAAGACTGTTTCCCCCTTTTATTTTTAGGCACCAAGCCTCCTTTGCTCTTTGTATTGCTCTACTGTTCTCTCTAGTTCACCTGGTACAGAAACAGAGAAGGGTTTCTCAGCGGCAGCACAAAGTCTCTCCTCTCCCACTTATAGGGGACATGGTGATCAAGATTCTAGTCTGACCTCCTGTACAACACAGGCCACAGAACCTCCCCACTTAGCCATCTACTTCCTCTCACCCCTAAAATAAGGTCAGGAGGTTGAGTTTCCCTTTTGAATTGCAATAATGTTTGAAGAGTAAGAAAAACGCATTTTGTACAAATAAATACAAAAATGTAGATTCTCTTTCCTGTCTGTATTGATTATAGTTGAATTAAATCATGGGATTTATTAGAATTACTTTTAGTAAAGACTGCTCTCCTTGTATAGGTGTACCACCACCATAATAGGAAAGGGTGCTCATTGTTAGAATTAACAGATAGCTGCAAAGCATTATGCCCACCCATCTTCAAATGTTTATATCAGAATAGCAGAAACGACGGCAGAATAGAGCCAATAAAAAGAATTAGACAGATGCATGGCAGCAGCTCCACTATTATTACTAACAAGGAGACCAGAGTCCACCCTCACATATCTGCAACCCAAAAGACATCAAAACAGTCTGTTTAAATATAAACATCATGGAACCCGGCCTACTTTTTTTTTTTTAAATTTAAAAACAGCAAAAATTTTGAGCAAAAAACCCAGAGAATAAATTTAGTCTCTCAAGGAACAGAAGCATCTTACCATCTCTGGTAGTATCCCACTTAAGCATCAGGTCGATGGCATATACTGCTCGCGATGATGGATAATCACAGATGCCAAACGGTGCAGGTTTAGCGGAAACAGCTTGGAATAATTCAGCAAATGCCTTAAAAATCTCTGCCTATTGCCAAAGAGAAGTCAGTTTCTGAATAAAATGCAAATAGTTGTGAGAACCCTAAAAAAGGGATTTTTGTAGTTGAAAAGTTTCGTTTAGGAGTCAGATCAAACCGTGTAAATGCCATCACAAATGACAAGCCTGCAGACAAGAACCTTCAGCATTTCAGCAAAAAAAAAAAAAAAAAAAAAAAAAAAAAAAAAAAAAAA